CACTAGTTAATTTGATTAAAGTAAACTTTAAAATACTAATGTGCTATAACTCGAATTAATAGTTAGATTAATAGTTAATTACTTTTTTACAATTTTTTATTAATCGCTACATTTTTTAGATTGATCGTCCTAGATATTCGGTTGATATGGGTAACCTCGAGCGCAACCGAACGAAAGAGCTTGCGAGGAAGAGATCCCGCAAAGGTAAATCACATATCGGCTCTTCATCTCAAAGTCGGCCCTGTGGGCCTCGAGTTAGTTACTTTTGACCTCAAGTACTGTCCTCACAAACCGCCACTAGCCTTTTTCGCGCACTTTGTCCTCACTCGTGCGCGCCCTGAGAAACTTTCCAGGGGGTCATCCATCCCAAGACTACTCTCGTGCAAGCACGCTTAACTTTGGAGTTCTTGGCTAATGAGCTCCCTTAAAAGGAGATGCATCTTGTCGGTATGAGTAGTACTATTAATCCTCTTAAATTAATCTCGGGTATTACAACGACGATGTGGAGGAAGTAATTTCGGAGAGCCACGACGACGAGGAGGAGGGTGGCGGCAGCCATGACACCGACCAACCTGCCTCATCCCAAACAGGTACGAAAAAAGTAAATCTGAACTAATGGCTAATAATTTTTCTAAGTGGAAGGACCCGAACACCGGGAATTGGACCGCAACTTGCAATTGGTGCAAGAAAAACTATAGCTTGACGATTTCCGGCGGATACGGATCCGCCACAAGACACCTTAAGTCCAAACACCCGGTGGAGTATGAAAAATTAGGCGGCGGAACGGGGAAGCAAACTCAAATATCGAGATTTGCAAATAACCAACAAGCTTTTGGTAATTTCTCATACAATGATGAACAAAATTTGACTAGTATGGCTAACTTACTTGTTGAACAAAATTTGTCTTATTTGTTTTCTGAAAGTCTTGCTTTTCGTGATTATGCACAAACTTGTTTAAATCCGCAATATAGAGGTTATAGTCGCAAAACGGTTAAGAAAGAAATTTCAAGGCTTTATGGTGCGGAAAAGGTAAGGTTACAAAATTATTTTGCAAACTTTGATGGACGTGTTACTGTATGTTCTGACATATGGGAGGATACTTATCATAATTTACATTATTTAGGTCTGACTGTACCTTATATTCATAATGATTGACATATGCATAAACGTGTTCTTGCTTTACGTGAATTTAATGATCGTCACATCGCTGAACATATTTATATTTTGATTGAGCGTATTTTAATTGAGTATAATTTAATTGATAAGGTGTTTGCTATTGGTTTTGATAATGCTACTAATAATACTGCTGCTATTCCTAGATTGCGTGAATTGTGTGGTTCTACTTCTTTGATGGGTAGATTTTTTCATCAACGATGTGCATGTCATGTTCTAAATTTATGTGTGCAAGATGGTCTAAAAGCGACAGGAGCATCATTGGAGGTAGTCAAGGGGGGGATTAGACGTATTTGGGGTAATGGACAACTTAGGAAAAAATGGCATGATTATTTGATAGAAAGAGGTGAGAGATATGTGGCTTTTTGACGAGCACTTTGTCACGGTGCGTCAAAATAAATTCAATACTAAACACTTATACGTAGTATAGCGTAGTAGAGTTCGTATCCACAGGGAAAGGAATGATTTTCTTTTTATGAAACTAGTAATTAAAAGGGGGGTTTTGGTTTTGAGTGATTTAATTTAATTAAGAACTAAGATGAACAACCTATATGTGTTTAATTCAAAGATAAAAAGGACTTGACATTGCTACTTTCCACTTGTTTGATATATTTTAGAGTTAATTATCAAAATAGGACTAAAAGTCATTCACTTTTCACAAATAGGACCAAAAAATAAACTATGTTTGCATAAGACTAATTATGTGTACCTTGGACAATTATACCCTTATAGCTATTAAAATGTTTTAATTCCTAATAAAATAATAAAAAATAATAAAAATTCGTAAAAAATACCAAAACATTAAGAAAAACATTTCGATATTAAAAATTTAATTAATTTTTTTTTTCAAAAAATTAAAAAAATTAAAAAAAAAATAAAAAAAAATAAAAACTCAAAAAAAAAATGCCGCCGCCTCTGCCTCCTCAGCACCACCACCTCCAGTCTCCAGGGGAAAAAAATGCCAAGTTCATTACGAATGCCATATTTATGGCAGAAAAAATGAAAATGTTGGCATTCGAAAAGAGAAATATGCCACTTTTTTGGCATTTTCAGAAAAAAATGGCATTTTTCTGGGAAAATGGCATTTTTTTCATCGGCCGGAGGTGGTGGTGGTGGGAGGTAGTACAGGCGGTGGGAAAGGCATCCATATTTTTTTAAATTTTTTTTACGGAGTTTTACTATTTTTTATTAATTTTTTAAAAAATAAAATTATTTTTAAAAAAAAAGTTTTTGAATTTTTTATTTTATAAAAATTTTATAAATTTTTTAATTATATTTCTACGAATTTTTGAATTTTTTTCGAATTTATTATGAATTAAACATTTAATTATAGCTTTTGACTATTTTTAATTCATATTTAATGGAAGGGTAAGAATGGAATGCAAAAATAGGTATGTTTCCAATAGGACTCATATGGTCCTATTTTGGAATAAAAACATAGCAAGTCCTATTTTAGGTTTTTGCCATAGTTTTAGTCCTATTTGAACTAATTTCTATATATTTTAGTCGATCCTTGTTATATCTATAACTTATCCTCTCTCGAATACTCAATCGAGGAGTATATCCAATTCATTGAAGGTAGTTATTAACAACGACCGTTCATTAATAACCCTTACTATTAATCAAATATAGAACAACGTCGTATACCGATATAATAGTAGCATTTAATCTTTTTAACTCTTTGATGAAATCAATTGAGATTGATAACCTTAACACAACGGTTTCGGTTTAACCAACAAAATTGATCTCTCTTAAGTTTATTAACCACGACTGTGCATTGATAAACCGAAGTTACTTACTTATGAAACCACCAACGATTAACCATCGGTTCGTTGATCGTTTCTAGTAGTAATTAATGTCGGAACGTTAACTAATCGTCACTTAGCAACCCTCCAACATTAATATAGAATGAGACTAAGGGAAGAATTAATAATCAAGAGAAGAAGTTAAGAAAATAACTCACAACTTTAATAATCAACAAGCTTCAAGAGCAAAACCAAGAATGGAAGTTTAGCTCCTCATTTGGAGGCTAAACATAGCTAGAAAAATATAAAGAAATGATATTCTAAACTGAGCTAAAGAGAATGAAAGAAGGGATGATTTTTAGAGGAGAAAAAGAGTGCTATATATAGGTGTTTTTCAACACCTTTGGCCGGGTACCCGACCGGGTATAGGTACATACCCGACCGGGTACCGGTCAAAATCAGATAATCTTACACGTTTTTGTGTTCCAGCACGTTAATTTGTCTCGGGTCAAGTCAGACCCGACCGGGTTTGGTCTAAATCAGATTTTTTCCAAATCTTTGTGATCTTCAGCATGTTCTGGTGTTCCGGGTCATATCTGACCCGACCGGGTCGAGTAAGGGACCCGACCGGGTCTTACTTGTTCTTCTTAGATCTTGTCTTCAACTGACCCGACCGGGTTCAAGGTCTGACCCGGTCGGGTTTTTGTGCTCCTGGGTATTTTTGTCTTCAGTTTTTCTCCCCTTTTCCTTGCTACAAACTCTATCACTATTCTATAACTCCGAAAAGAAGGAGAGAACAATTACAAACAAAATAAAACAAGTACTTACAAACTAACTAAAAGCGATGGAAATCCACACTCAATCAACATAAAAACATACATTTATGCACTATAAACTAGTGCATATCACTTTTCCTAAAGATTTGTCTATTCGTTGGAATAGTACCTATAAGTTAATTGGAGTTCTTAGATATAAACAACATTTTCCTGTTTTTATGAAACGATATGATAACTATATTATAAACTCGGCTGAGATCAACACATGTGAAAAAATTTGTAATGCTTTGATATATTTTAATAATGCAACTGAAACTTTTAGTCATGTTTATAAACCTACCTCAAACCAATTTATTCGTGAAGCTGTTAATCTCGCCGGTGCTTTTTCAAATTTTGAGAATGCTGATTACGTGAGTTATTTTGCTAGTTTTAGGAAGGAAAAGTTTTTAAAATATTATTCACATATTCCGCATATTTATGATATTGCATTTGTTCTCGATCCTCGTTTTAGACTTGGTTCTTTAGAAGAATGTTTGAATTATTATTATGCTGCTTTTTTTGGTCCATTGCCAATGTATGAGACAACCCAATTGATCCGAAAAAAGAATACAACGAGGTTAGTGATATATTTTATGCATTATTCAATGAATTTCATGCACAATATGACAATGCGCCCCCTCCCCCGACACAAACATCATCCCGTAGAACAAGAATTTAGTTCAACGAGCAATGTCCTAACGCAAACTAGAACAAGGTTGAGCGCAGAATCTCTTGAGATGTTTATATGCTACCACGATTGGTTGAAAGCAGCCCGTAGAACTCAAGAAATTAACATCACCCCATCTCAACACTTTATGGATGAATCTACAACCGAGAGTGGCTCTACCTATGCCGGAGATTCCGATTGAATGATTGATTAGTATTTCATGTTTTAATTTTACCTTCAATTCTCAATTGTAGTTCCTATTTAATTTTCAAATGTAGTTCCTATTTCATTTCAAATAAATGCACTTGAAGTTTGTTTTTAATACTTGTATAAAACTATAAAGTATAAAATATAAATTATAAAAACAAAAAAAATCTTTAAACGACCCGACCCAGCCCGGCGTGTGGCCCGACCCGTGACCCGGACGGGTGGCCCGACCCGTGACCCGGACGGGTGGCCCGACCCGTGACCCGGACGGGTGGCCCAATCTGAACCGGACCCGTCCAACCCTCGGGTTGGTCCCGGGCCCATGTGATACAAACCGATGGCCCGACCAGGGCCCGACCCGAGTCCATGACTACGTATGACTCACTAATATCACTTTTTAGAAGATGGCATAATCCAATCAAGTCAAATGAACCCTTCTCACATAAAAATACAGCCTCTTGTGCCACAAGGTTTAAATTACAGGAGAGCAAATCCATACATCCAACTATCTAACGACGTTTAGTTCAAAACTTCGCATATCTACTTCTGACATCACCCTCCAAAACAACATTATATCGGACATAATCCGTGCATAGAATGAAGACCAAAATTCAACTCAGAAATTCAAAATTGGTATAATAAATAGGTCCCATTTGAGGCTAAGGAAGTATTAAATACTGGAAGTCACACCAAGGAAACTGGCACTTCTTCGAATTAGAAGAGCCATAAACACACTGATGAGTGCTAAAGACCATGTTTCCGAGTGAGTGCAATGACGATTTTATTCAAGCTGGTGATTTCTTTATCTCTCTGCCTAAGCTCTCCCTTCAACCTTTCAATCTCCATCAAGAGGGTTTCACACTGGTCACGATCCTTCTTCTCAAGATCATCCTCTGAGCTTGTATGGTGATCCTTCTTTAATTTCTTGCATTTCCCTGACGGCTCCTCATCTTGTAATGGACGTTTGATTGTCGTGTTTTCATCATCTTTACCAGCAATTTCACGGGCCAACTTGCAAACACATACACGTCCAAAGAGTCCGGTGTTGTGTTGAAATGAAACAATTTTCTGGGACCGTCCATAAGGATCCTGGGAGAAAGACATTGACAGCATTGATTTTGAAATACCAACCAGACCAGGGAAAAATAACAGGGAGGGTTTGACAGAAGACCACTAGAGTTTACTGGAGTGGTTACTGGTTAGGCTATACTTTCAAATTATCTCTTTACACCTTTATCAATATGTAACCTAATTTAGTAAAATGTGCAACAAAACTGAAATAAGATAAAAACAGAGAAATTTAACCCTAGTCTCACTATCTGATGAGTGATGAAGCACAAATAACAGAGAAAAAACAGCTCTTTGAGTAAGATAAACATAAAACTACATAACCATCCCCAGATGCAGGGAAGAACACGACTCCATATTCTCAGTTTCTATTTAATTGCTTCAAAATACTGAAATAGTCTGAATATGTCATATGTTATAGGTGAATGAAATACTATGGGAAAATACTAAGAGAGAGAAAAGCAGAGGTCGTGAGAAATAATACCTTCTCAACGGAACCTTCAAGCTTTTCAAATGCCTCATTTGCCTCTTTCTGATTTTTGAAAATTGCCAGTGCAGAATACTTGTCTTGGGTCGTCTTATGAGTCTGCAATCGTGGTTTGTTTCTTGAGGTTAGGACTTCCACATATTCACGACAACATATAAGGCGGAGTATGATGTTAAACATCTTATGGGTTTGCAAGGTGAGGGTTACCACAAGTACCAACTGGAAAGTGATAAGAAAACAAAATTCATGGGTAATACATTTATGTATTAAATTAAATAGAATGATGGAAGTATCAAAACCACAGCTGGCTGCATTAAATTAAATGACCAAGATGCTGCCAGCTTCATAAAGCAAACATGTCATTCACATATTATTGAATATCAAGCTAAGGCCAATATGTATTGCATGCTTAACAGGAACAACATAACCAAGCATTCCAGCCCAACTGGTTGCAAGGTTACCGTGCCTAGTGGGAGGTCTCGAGTTCGAAACCCGCTAGGCACATAAGGGTTTGAAACTCAATGGAGTGAGTTTCAAACCTGATTACTCCAGGCCCCCAGCCCCCCTCCCCCAGACACCCCCTAGAGTAAAAAAACAAAAGCTTAACACGAACAACATGAAAAGTGGGAATCATGTATTAAAACTGATTGAAAATACTGATAACATTCTAACCCTCATTTCAACAGTGAATTCTCCGGAAATTATTTGATGTAAATCAGTACAAGGAACACCAACTGGTATCCTGTGGACAAGCAGCTTCTTCATATTAGCATCTTCTTGAGCCTACATTAAAGAAATGATGCACATGGGGGTTCAACTTTAACTGGGTTGGAAACAAACGTGCAGTACAAAGTCGTGGTTACCTCCTCTGAGACAGTAGGTATAGAATCAATGACATCATGCTCAATTTTTTCCTTAACAAGTTTCATTGCAGTAATTGCGTCATCCAAACAATTATGTGGAGATCCCTTCTTCCGGAGTTCATAACCTAACACAAACTGTTGAAATTATGAGTTAGTGGTCATAAACTGCAAGTTTTATACTCCAAGGCCCCCAACCCAACCCAACATTATTTGCACTTGTGACATTCTCTTACAGTATGCAAACAGGCAATAGAAATAAGGACACTATGAAATTAAACTCAAGTGTTAAAAAAATTATACATGATGTAAGATTTATATGTTTGGCTGAAATACTCCCTATAGGCTCACTTTAACCTTTCCACTTTCCTTTGTGATCCGTATGTCCATAAATGATCTTCATGTTTCCTTTTAAGGAAAGGACTGTGTAAATGTGTAATTGATATTTATTATTTCCTTTGCGCAAAACAAAATGTGATTTCATTTTGTTAAACTCCAGGCAAAGTCTAGTGGAAAGATTGAATACAGACAGGAGTAAAACAAAATGCAAAATGATCTACATCCACACAACACAGAACTTACTTTGCACAAATTACTTAGAGAAGGTCTTCTGTTAGAAGGAACGTCCCCACATTTGAAGATATAAGACGTATCAATAACTCTTGCATGATCTATCTGTAAAGCTGTATAATAAATATGTTTCATTAGAAGCTAGATGTCAGTTTGATGAGCCACCAAAATGAGAGAAACACATAGTTTACGAAACTGAGTATTTAAACTATTTACTAACAAATAGTACCAAACTTCTAACATGGTACTTGTATTAGGCTATCAGCCAGAATGCACCCATCCTAAAAGTTAAAAATATAACTAGGCAGTGTCGAAATATCCTGCAAATAATATGAAACCAAAGTGACTAAGCTAGAAGGATTACCTCGAAGATCATTGCACAAGCTGTGGCCGACTAATATCTTTCCATGAGATAACAATTTTTTCAATGATTTCTGTAAAAGAAGTGCAAAAAAGTTGAGAGCGGTTTTTTTTTTGCATGATCTTCTGACAACTCAAATTACTATAATTACCTGTACATCAGTCAAGGAACATGTAACTCCATCTAAATCAGAAGCAGTGATTCCAGTAATATCTGTTCTGTAATCTGCAATTACTTTACTTGGCTTTACCAATTCATTAAGTTTAACCTGCATTATCAAAAACTCCACAGTGATTAGGTGAGTAGGTGACCCATAAGAAAAAAAATATGATATGAATGCAAACTAAAAATTCGTACATCATTAGAATAACTCCACAACTGGTGTAGTAGATTCATATGCAAGTTCTTGATACCATTAATATTTGAAAAACACACCTTTAGATTTTGATTGACCGCACAAACACGGATTAAAGCTTCAGTTCCATCATTACAGAGAGCCATCTCACAGTCAATTGCAAGCATTTTAGTTGAATGCAAAGCCTTGGTTTTTTTACTGCGCTTGATTACCAGCCAGCCCTGTTTGATGAATCAAGGATTAGAATGAAGGTAAGAGGATGAAATTGTACACAACTAATGACAATATAGAAAAAAACACATTATTAATGTATAAAGAAGGCATCAAATATAATTGAATGCTATCATTTGAATCAACATTAGAAGGAAGAGAAGTAACAAAGTTGTTTAATTATTATACTAACTTCACAGTAGCAGGATAATGTATACTCCATATTTTATAGATTCATATAGAGAATATAGAGAATGAAACAAAACACATTCATCAACCAGTGTAAAAACTTCACCTCTTTGTGTGATGGTAGGGCATAATCAAATGTATATTGAGGGTTTTCAAGAGTTAAGCGAACTAGCCTCTGCACTATCACAAAACAGCAACTGAATTAGTAATTTAATATTCAAATTGCAAAACTGCAAAACTTCATGATCCAGTTCGATCATTTACTCCCCATGCCAAGTATACAAGGAATAAACCAAATGCTGAAATACTGAAAGGGGTTAAATAATTCATGAATAAAAATAAGCTATATTTTCGCTCAGCTTAATCAAGGTACGAGCTTTTACTAGTTATCAATGGTCACTTATACCTTACATTTTTCATATATTTGTTTTGACTTTTCCCCTCTCTATTTTCTTTGATATACCTGACACTCGTACCTGACACACCCAAGGTATAACAGTACTTCTTCATTCGAGTGATGTTCTGTGCATTTTCTACATCTGAGATTTAACCAGAGCTGTAATTCTAGATGAGCTCTAGTTCTAGTAAAGTCCTGCTCATTACAACTTAACATGGCTCTTTTGTATAGACACTGAGCTCTACTACCTTATTAGGCTGCACTTCTACATGGTCACTAACATTATTGTTAAGATAAGCACGACAGGTGGATCATACTTATTTCAAAACTATTGGCAAAATACGCCTAGTAGTTAGTTTTTATCCTACCTTATTTAAAGTATTAACTTCCATCTACTGATTTTCAGTAATATGTCCAGTGACTGGTAGTGGGAATGAAATCAAAGAATATCTAGTATAGACCTGTTCAGGGGATTCACTGTTCGATGATTTTTTTTGGAATTCAACCACCGCATCACGGTTGGAATGACATTCGAAAACCTTGGCAAATATCTGCAATCGAGAGATGATGATAAAGAGAGAGCTTACTGCAATATTAGTAACTACAAGGTTTTAATGGAAGTAATAATGCTTTAATTAGTCTGACAAAGTTAATCTTCTCATCTAGATAGTTACCTTCATATCCTCATCTTCACTGAATGTTTTCAAAAACGCAGCCAAGTCATCAGCAGACCTCTTAGCAGGGTCACTTATGTTAGATCCATTTTTATTGTCATAAAATTCCAAAAACTCTTTCCAGTCTCCTTTGCTACCTTTCATTCTACGTTTTTGAGAAAGCTTCACAACATCGACAAGTACCTAAACATCATAACAAATGACAATTGAGCATGGAGTCATCAGCTGTCAATGCATACTTATGGTAAATTTTTATTAACAGCCATATGACTCCACTATGGAGTCATGCGAACTTACTTGGGTTCACTAGGGCCACTGATTTTTTTAATGTAGCCATAATTGATGACTCCACTATGAAAGTAAGTGCCCACCGTGTGGCCACATAAGCCATACGACTCCATAGTAGAGACATATGGGATTCCATAAAACTACTTATAATTAGACACTTTCCACTGTTTCCAGGATACCAATCAAAATCACAGAAAACTAAATAGGAATAGAAGCCTAAACTCTATACTTGACGCATCTGTGATTAAACAACTAGCTAATCCCGGATTCTAGAAGCAATGGATGCTTAAATGGTAGATAATGGGACATAGATAGTTTCAAGAAAGCCCTCTGAACTTTGACTATGAAATCCTAGTAAGTAAATAGTGTTAAAGTTGTTATCTAGATAAAAAGATGTGCTTGTACGTGTTCTCAATTCACGTATCAGCTAATATATACACTAAAGTGAGCAATTAACTAAGAAAACTGTCTTACATCAAACATCTTGAGAATGAACAAAAGTTTATTTCAGAGCATTACTGACGGAAAAACTTTATTCTCCATAATACATTAGAAAGACAGCGATTTACTACGTTTAGGATTTTGAGGTATTATTGAAATGATAAAGAAGAGCAAACATTTTTCGTTGCGGAAGCAATCTTCTCATCCATTGCAGGAAGAAAATCTGCGGTGTTTAGTTTCCGAATCCCTTCAAGTCTTCTTAACTTCTGTGTGCACTCTCCCCAATATGTTATCCGTACAACGTCCTCCTGCGCCAAAAAATCCCTCCGTGCTCACTGCTCCGTTCTTGAACGTCTTGCTTTTGTGGCAGACGTGAAGTCGTGCAGCTCGGAGAGGATGGTATGGACAGCTGGAGGCTAACTACGGCGGAGAGCCGAAGTCTGAGACTGATAAATCTTACAGAGCGACTCTAGCGAATGGCTTTCGAGGCGGAGCATTAGGTCATGTTACAGTGATTATAAATACATAATCTAAAAAACTATACTCCCTCCCTTAAACTTCCCCAAATTTGACCGATCACAAATTTTTTCAAAGTTTGAGACAAAAAAGGAAAGTTATCGAAGTTCTAAGAGAGAATTTCCCAAATGGGACTAAAACTTGCTTAAAACTTTTAATTACCGATCGGACAAAATTGCCCTTAATGAATTCAGCGCATGATCTTTAGACTTCCGACTACTCTGTTGCGGTGCCCTGCACCGATAACTTCATATTGCCGGCACCACCACCCTCTGCGCAAGGCTTCAGTGCACAGACTTCCACTGTCGTTGGCTGATTGCCGCCGCCTGGGTGATTGCTGCCACCTAGGTGAACGCCGTAGCTGCCTGCATGAGTTGCAAGATAAGATCGCCATTGTATATCTCTTGTAAGATGGATTCCAGATTCGAACATACTCCCCTTCTGTTCTCTGCCTCTCTTTCCTTTTCTCTCTTCCTCTTCACATTCGAACATTATCTCCCAGATTCCTCTTCCTCATATGATTTCTTCTTCTTCTTACTCTGTTTTGTAAAAAAATGCCACCTTTGTTCCCAAAATGTCATGGAGATGACATTTCCATATATAAAAATATGGCAGTCGTGGAGAATGTCAAGTTGGTGTCATTTTTACTCTTTATAAATGTCAAATAAAAATTGTCATCTTGGTAAATGTAATGTCAAAAAAGTGACATTTTTTCCAAATGAGTGTTCAATAAAATAACAATTATGCCATTTTCAGGTCCAATTAGTGAGAAAAATAGTATGAACGATTTAAAGTGAATTAGATGGAATTTATAAAAAATGAAGAGAAATGACTTTCACAATTCAAAATTTTATTTAAAATTTGATTGATAAAAAACTAAAAATGATGTTAAAATAATGTTGGCATTTTGGAATAGAAAGATGACATTTACAAAAGGAGAAGAAGAAGAGCAAGAAGAAGAAGAACAAGAAGGAGAAGGAGATGGAGGAGAAGAAGAAGGAGAAGAATACCTGATTTTGATGGAGATGGCGTCCGGCGTCGAGCAGGCAGCTGCGATGATAGGCCAGCGTCGAGTTGCGAACTTGCGATCGATGGAGGTTGAGCTGCGATCGAGTTGCGAACAGTTGAGCTGCGAACAGTTGAGCTGCGATCGAGCGATGCAGAGGGATTTGGGGAAAAGGTGATTTAGGGATTAGGGGCAAAAAGGTAATGTGGAGTCCCATTTAGGAAATTTAAAACTTGAAGTCCTATTTTGGAGTTTTAACCATGTTTTAGTCCCATTTAAGAACGGAGAAAGTATAAGATATATTACGGATCGGGTAATGGTGCGGGTAATCGTACTTGAAGTAAACGGACGGTTACGGGACAGGGTAACAGGTCGAGTAAGTATAAATTCGTATCCGCCCCATTATCCATTATCCAGTCAACATGGTTTCCCTCGTTTTGATTGACACGATTCAATGCAAGTATCCGGATCAGGTTAAATTGTCATCCCTAAATATATTATGTAAATACCTCATATGTTAGGTACACAGTGTATAATTTTTAAAATATATGAAGTATCACTTGTGCGAGAAGATATTAGTTTGTGTACTTGCTGAAATTTTCACTTTAGTTTTCCTTTAACTTGCTGAAATTTTCACTTTAGTTTGTGTAAAAAATTAGTTTAGCTTTCCTTTCACTTTAGTTTTGATTAGTTTGTGTAGTTGTAATTTTCTATGTAAATGATTTAAGAGTATACAAGTTACTAAGTGGTGCTCCATTTTTGTGTGTACATGTGTAATATTGTAATTGTTATAACTTCTTTGTAATTATATTTTGGATTATTAGCTTATTTTATCTCAAACTATTATAAAATTCATAAATTTATCATATTTTCTCGCTTTGAAAAAAAAATACTCAAACTTCATCTTTTCCAACAATTATGATTTTCTTCTTTGTTTTTTTTTTCAAAATTACAAATTTTATCAATTCCAATAAGATATAAGCAAAATACAAGTTTGTAAAATTAAAACTAGAAAGAAGTGAAAAATATAAAATATAAATATGACTTTATTCTTAAGTTTTACTAATTCATCTATTGAAAGTGTAATTGTGATAAAAGTTGAAGTTGAAGTCTTTTTTTAATAAAAGTAAACTTATGGAATAGATTTGCGAATTTAATGATAGTTAAAGATATATTTAGCTAATAATCCTTATATTTTAACTTCAATGTTTTTAAACAATGAAGTTGAAGCGTTGAACCTAAGGATTCTTAAAAAAAATTATATCCTCTCTATAAACAATTTTAAAGCTACCTTCATAGCTTTGACCGTTATGGAAACGATCAAAACTAAATGGTTTGATTCTCACTTTTATTAGTTTCTAAGAATAACACAATTTTCACTCAAAAAAATAACACTGTTTACATTATGTATGACACGAAAAAGTTTTGTTTTTGGTCAAAATGTCATGAAAATGTTGAAAATTCAAAACATAAATAATCAATACTTTTTTTAGCTCCAACAACTTTGATCATCGAAGCCCAACTTTAATTTAGTGAAAGGTTACTAGAGTGAGATTTTTCAATTTTAAATTTAATTTAGAATGGATATTATTTGGATTATCTCTGTAGCAAAATAAGATGTTTGGTGCAAGTTCCTCGAAACTTTAAAATATATTGAAGAGACATGTATATATATGAATATTATTACATTTCAAACCCTAATAGCATAATATATCATAAAGGTAATCATACAATCGTCTTGAATAATATTGTAAAGAAAGAGTGTATGGAATCAACACGTGTTTATTTGGGCTGCTTGAACAATTATGAAATTCTTAAAGGGTTCCCAAACTTACATACTATAATATCTATTTCAATAATTATTCACATTGCATACCAAAGTTTACAAACTTACACATCATCTCCTACTACTACATTGTAGTATAAACAATCACATTTATTTAATTGTATGAGATTGACATACTTGCATACTATAACATAATCTTCTCTTTAATTTCTCTACAATCTCTCAGTGCATAATAGAAGGTGAGAGGTCGGACTCGACAAAGGGGCATTGTAATTGTTTTAAGTCCATAATAGAACTCGGCCCACTTTGCTTCTCACCCTTCTCGCTATTGTTGTTGCCTTCATATTGCTTTAATCAAACACCCAATTATTCTACACGGTAAAGGATTCTACGAAAGTCCAAAGAACTGTGTTGCATCTTTGGTCCTTGAGGACTTAACCTCAACACATACGAACTGAACGAATCAGGTTTTAACAACCCAGTTTCTGAATCCAAAGCCCACCCGTATAAAAATGAGTGTTGGCAACTTTATAACTCATGTGCATGAACTTAACGAATCGTGATAACAATTCGGTTCAACGGTTCTCTAGTTCCTGATTCCAAAGCCCCACCCATATAAAAATGTGTGTTGGTAGCTTTTAAGTTGTTTATAAAGTGACTCATATAATCATTCTTTTTCCTCCTCTTCCTCCTACATGTTGTTCTCATCCACTAAAATTTTAAAGATGTGTATTTAATACGAGACTCTTTCTTAAATATTATCAAAATAAAAAACATGGATGAAAATATTATTAAAATTACTATGGATTTATCATCGTGGTCACTATAATATAAAGTCACCAAAATTACTACCATAGTCATTCTTGTCATATGCCTTCTTTTTAATCATACACACACATATACATACATGCATACATACTTTTTTAAAATGAAAAGGACAATTTTATTCATAAAAATAAATAATACTGATAGAGTATATGAGGCCAGACCTCATGACTCACATACTAAGAAGACTAAGATGAAGCACAGTTGGCACTCACATGGTCCTCTCTTTGTCGGTCATATCGTCCTCCATCGGCCAAACACCCAGAAAATGGTCTAGAAGCTCAAGAGCACAACATGGTCTCCCGTCGACTTGGTCCTCCCATCGGCCAAAGAGACCAAAGCAGGTTGGATCTTATACTTAGACGAAATGTTGTCTGTATCCAGCCCAATAGAGGGCTTATATTGTAATGGGTCTCCCAAGTCCAAGACTTGGGAGCCCCAACCCATACATTTGCTATAAATACCCCTTCGGGGGTAGTTGCAGGGGTTGAATAATATTAATTGTACTCTCTATCTAGCTCTCACTTCTCTCTAAACTTATACTCTATCAAGTACAATTTAAGAAGATAAATAATTCTAAAGTAGAAAAAAAAGTACAGAAAAGAGAAGAAAATGTAAAGACAAAAACTAGGCCCAAAGGAAATCTCTGGACCAAGATCTAGTCCTCATGTTGTGGCATCATTTGTTCTTTTGATATTTTTTATAAAATTTGAGTTGTGTGTTCAAGTTATTTGTTGCCAGGAAATTTTCATTTGTGACCAACTTAGATTTTCGACAAAGCTTTCTGTTAAATTTGGAGTTCCTAATTTCTTCCTGGTTTGAAACAGGAAGACGACGATCGCTATCAGTTGCATGCCCTAAAAAATCATTTGAGAAGAAAGAGTCATCAGAAGGATCAAAGTTGTCCGAGGCATCAAAGTAAGCCCGTAGAAGTGGAATTTCGGGTTCTTTCTCAATAAAGAGGGGTTGTTGCTTCCCGCCATAGGCTCTTTGACTGCAAAGTTAAATATGAGTTGTTTCCTATGTATATAGAGGAGACATATGAATTTATACACATGTGATGTAGGCTTTGGTATGACCATCCTACTCTTTATAACCCTTTCTTTGTTAAATAAGTTGGTGGGGTGTTCCGTGATCCCCACCTCAAAAAAACTTTGGTTTTTTGGTAAAAAACCGGGTATAAAAAATGTATGTATGTATGTATATAGATATATATCCAAAGAATGTAACAGGTGGTTATGCTACATTAGATTATAGATTATATTATCATAGTAGCGTATAATATTTAATATGGGATTTATTTTGTGTTTAGATCAATATTGCTTTTGTCATGGTGAAACAATTATTTAGATAATAAAAATTCATAAGTTAATTTGTGTATATTTTCATAAGTAATTTTGATGGTATATAACACAACGAGATCATTGAAG